TTGCATGAAAGGTTAGGATCATACAAGACAGATACTACTTGGGGATCTGCTGGGGAAAAATCGGAGCGATTTTAGTCTGATGGTTCCTCCTTGCTATACATACGGGCAAGATGGCACATATAGGGATGCAGAGCTGAGGTGAGTGTTTCTCCCTTTACTGGCAACAACTGCTGAATAGCAAAGGTAAATCCCAAGGCAACATATGGTTAATATGTTTTATTATACCAAGGCAATGCAGTTTGCTGCTTCTCCCAGTTTGGAGAAGCTAACGAGCTGGCCACGACCTTAAAAATAACCGGAAAGGCTATAAAATTAGATCAGGCCTTTCTCCTTCACCAGCTTCCTTGTCATAGTGAACAGGGCTCTTTTTTTAACTACGTCCCAGCTGCAGTGGGAAAAAAAAATCTTTATTTTATGCCCATTCCAGCTCCCTTTCCTTTTTCTCAGGCTCTTTTAAAGATGGATTCTTTCACACTGTATTTTAGGAATGTTAATATAAATGCCCAGGGTTTGGTGGCTAGGAGGCAGTGGGCGCTCGCTCTGTCCTACTCTCTATCAGAATGTAAGGAAGGATCCCAACTAAGATTTTAGACAAAAATTCTACTAGACTTCCCTCTTCTTCCCCATCCTCAGGGAACACAACCACTCTCAAATTATTTCTTCTGGCCCAGCTCTCCAAATCATTCACTCTATCTTGTAGATTTTGGATCAGACTTTGTTGCTTGTCTATTAGAGAGACAAGGTGGGCTTTTAGTGGACCAACTTCCGTTGGTGAAAGGCTGCACAGAGCTCTTCTACAGGTCTGGGAAAGGTAGTCAGAGTGTCAGCTGAATGCAAAGTGTAACAGATTGTTTAGCATAAGTAGTTAACGCACATTGCAAGAGCCCATTCAAGGTGCTGATCTACAGTGATCCTAATAGAGCCCTCCCTAATCCTGGAGGATAGCCCTTGCAAACTGACCTATTGTGCTGCAGCTGTGGCTTTAATTTCAGAAATATCCTCTGATATTTTTCTAAGCAGGATCTGTTCTTCTGATACCTGCTTTAGCATTTTATAGATCTAAGACAGGCCTATCAAGTCCTCCTCTGAGAGTGGTGCCATGCTGCACTGTACAGGGCTGTCAGAGAGCCTCTGCTTCTTTGTGATTTGTGGGGAGTCCCAGGAGGAAGGGGGGTTCAAAATGAGATCCATCTGCTACTAAGATGTTAAAGGCAGGATGAACCACACAGAGACAAAAACTGTGCCGTAGTTTAGCAGATGTTAGCAGATTTTAGGGGGGCTGAGCAGCAGTTCAAGGTTTAGGCAGCCATCTTCCCCTGCGGGGTCCGCCCAGTCCACACACATTTGTTTTGAAATGTTTTAAAATCTTTTAGACAGGAACTTGCATTTAACATTTTAAACTGTTGTGGAGGAAGACCCCTTGACCTCACATCCTTTGCCCACCATTTCACGTTGCCTCTGCCTCCCAATTTCTATTTGACTAACTACAGGACTGTTTGTATACCTTTAATAGGCTTGGAAGGATTAGGTTGTATTGGTGTCAATTTCACCATACACATACATACACAAAAACCAAGGAAAAAATATTTCCATCCATAACAACTGAAATTTACAGATAGGCAAAGAAAGAAAAAAAATGCTGCTTTAGAACTTGGGAGTTTAAAAATATTTTTGTATATTTTGAAATGAAATGTTGACAATTTGTGGTTTAATCATTATAAAGCTTTAACTTTTTGAATCTTAATGTCTACTGTCATTAAATAGTCTGACTCTGCCCCATAATTTCCGGCAATTGTGAAATTGTAAATCAAATAATTTTAAATGATTTAAAATAAACACTGGTGATATCTGTCCAAATTATTTAAAAAATGAATTCTCCAAGCCTAGCCATAACAAAAGAATTGAAGGTTTCAGAGTAGCAGCCGTGTTAGTCTGTATCCGCAAAAAGAACAGGAGTACTTGTGGCACCTTAGAGACTAACAAATTTATTAGAGCATAAGCTTTCGTGGGCTACAACCCACTTCTTCGGATGCATATTGAGTGAAACATATCAAGGAGATATATATACACACATACAGAGAGCATGAACAGGTGGGAGTTGTCTTACCAACTCTGAGAGGCCAATTAAGTAAGAGAAAAAAAACTTTTGAAGTGATAATCAAGGTAGCCAAGTACAGACAGTTTGATAAGAAGCAAGTGTGAGAATACTTCCAAGGGGAGATAGATTCAATTTTTGTAATGGCTCAGCCATTCCCAATCCCTATTTAGCCCTGAGTTGATTGTGTCTAGTTTGCATATCAATTCCAGCTCAGCAGTCTCTCGTTGGAGTCTGTTTTTGAAGTTTTTCTGTTTTAAGATAGCCACCCGCAGGTCTGTCATAGAATGGCCAGACAGGTTAAAGTGTTCTCCCACTGGTTTTTGAGTATTATGATTCCTGATGTCAGATTTGTGTCCATTAATTCTTTTGCGTAGAGACTGTCCGGTTTGGCCAATGTACATGGCAGAGGGGCATTGCTGGCACATGATGGCATATATCACATTGGTAGATGTGCAGGTGAACGAGCCCCTGATGGTATGGCTGATGTGATTAGGCCCTATGATGGTGTCACTTGAATAGAAGAATTGAATAGTTTGCACTTGCTATTGAAGTTCTGTAGTTTCAATTACTATTTTTAATGACATCTCCAAATGAGAAATTACAAATACATGGCACAAGCTGCAGAAAAGGCATTGTCCCTATAAAAGCACACTCAACTGCCTTATATTTGAAAAGAGACACAAAGACATTTAATGGTACTCTTGGAAAACTGGTAATTTTAATGCTCAAGAAACACAAAACAAGAATAGAGGATGTTGCTGCAAATGAATGTTCTGAGGAAGAGGTCAAAAATAAGGGGAAAGGGAAAGGTGGCTAAATTTAAGGAGGGCCCGAAGCACACAATAAGAGTCAGCAACAAATTTTACACCTTGACTTGCAAGAGCTCAAGTGCCAGCTCCCAACCCTGACATTTGATAGAAGGAGAGTGACAAATTCATGAAGGACATACACTGATAACCTTCACAAAAGCTAGGCATCAGTCACTGTGCGTTATTCACCATGCTTAAATTCATCTCAAACATACATCATCCCTGCTATTCTAATACCAGCTCTTCTTCTGCAAAGACTGTAAAAGCTGTGTGGTGGTAATGTCACTCAGCCAAATGCCATTAAGAGATTATGCTGAATCAAATGCACAAAGTTTTTTACCATCAAATCTGATCAAAAATTGAACCCAAACCTCAATAAGTGACAGGACCAAGTACTAACTTGCTGTTTAAAAAACTGTGGCATTTGTTTGTTTTCACACATGTATTCCAGTAAGACACTGTACTGTCAACTGAGACTCTCAACACAGAGTCCACACTTTCATACTATAGGAAAGCCACCTATTTAAGTCTTACATAGACAGAAAATTAGTCAAGTCACAGAATGGCAGGTGTACCCTCTATAGGAGCTTCCTTCCTATTCTCGCACGCAAACCACAAGAGTAAAGAACGGAAAAAATAGCTTTAAAATATTTTTCTTTTTAATACTATTGTACTTAAGTGGTAAAGAGCGTTCTTTTGAAAAACAGTTTTTTACAGACAAAATGTATAATACATAGCAAATGCTTGCAACAAGACTGATGGAAAGGCTCTAGTATGTCTACTCAGTGACCAGACTCTTAATTCAGATTCTTAATTTGTAACACTAACATTTTAAAAATTATATTGATTCAAGAAAACATTTTAATCCAAACTTTCACCTGCTCTCTTGTAACTTTTATGTAGCCAGAGACAATAAGATTTTTATGCCATGTTTCAGCAGAAAACAAGTATAAATGCCTAAACTATAAACCCCTGAAAATAAGGGTCTAGAAAGGAAATGCTGACAGAACCAGAACTAAAGCAGCACTTTCAGGTGCAGATATAATAAAATGAAGTTCCTATCTAAGGAAAAAAGTTCTCACATACCAATCTGCTACTCATTAACCTGTATTTACTTTGCAAATAATGTATAGCTACTACTTGTAAGATACTGAAGCTTGTTTCACTACCCATGAAAGAGAGCAGGGTTCAGACAAAGATGGAAAGTGCATGCATTTCTGGATATGACAAGTTTTATTGACATGGGATGTAAGGAGAGAGACTGAAACTGTAAGAACGTCACTGTATTCTAATCTCTTGTGAAGTTAAATCTTTGAGCTGGCATGTCACTTGCTCTCTACTGATAAGTAATCTTACTGGATTTTCAGTCACTGAGTGAAGCACAAGGTGCCAAAAAGAAGGAAAGCAATAGGTATATTGATGACATTTGAATATTTCACAGCATGCCCATTGTAGAAATTGACAGTTTCTAAACAGGGTTAGTGGTTCATTCTCCACATAATTCCAGGTGCCCATTAGTCCTACATTGATCATAACATACATAAATGTTAAAGACAAACATTCACATTATTTAAAGACAAATAATGAAACTACCGTATGAAACATGTAGAACTTTTCTATTGATCTCAATGTGCAAGGTTATGTAACAAAAGTCCTTTATAAGTACTAGTGCAAATACTTTTACTCATGTTTTCTGCACAAAAAATTAAATTCATGTAGTGAATGCTCTTTAAAACTTCCTATGGCTAACTATAAATCATCAATAATTTCATAAAAGTATTTTTTTAAATGTTTTTAACACTACAGACATCACTTGAACTGTGAGTCTATCCCAAAGAAAAATAGTGCTGAACAGACCAATACTTTCTGGATTTGTTCATGACACATTTGTACACTTGCCCCATTGAAGAGAAGAAAAAACTATTTGCATTGTGTTAGTCCCAGTTATAATTTCCAGCTGTGACAAAACTTTAACAGCCTAAAAGCAGGAAATCCAAGAGGAAATTCCATCGTCAGTTCCCGGAGTTTTGTAACCCAATGTTCTTCCAAAAGGAGATCTTACAGGAATTTGGTAGCATTTGCTGTAACCTTACCTCATATCTTCAAGTAGATCACATTCTCCCTGATGCTTGGCCTGAAGTTTTGTCATCTGCTCAATTTGAATATTTTTTAGCTCTTGTGTAACTTTTACCTACAAAAAAGACAGATCATATATTTTAAGTAGGGTCTAGCTGACATTTCAGTGGGAAAAAATATTTGATTTCCTTTATCTAACTTTATGATCTGTCCATCAGAATATGCAAATTAAACATTTTCAGTATGTGTAAACCTGTTTTGCTTGGCTAACATAACCCAATGCATCTACTTAACCAAAGACTGATTTTACCATATATTGTTTGGATTTAACCCTGTAGTGTCTGCATTTCATACATCAGAGCTGTGCTCTGCTTGTTAACAACAAATATGCATGTTTTCTTCTTCCAAACCTCTGAGGATAAACCTGTCTACAACAAAAGAGGTTCAGCTTGAAACAAATAAGGGAGTTGGGGCAAAGAAATAATCTGCCGCTGATTTAACACTTAATAAAAACAATTTACACATTCATGAAACGTGTATTGATTAAACACTCCTACAATGGTTTCATGAACATGCCTTTAAATGCAGTCATGTGGTTGCCAGCACATCAGATCAAAAGTCACCCTCCTTAACAGTATGACTTCAGAAAGGTTGTGCCTTTTTTTATCATCAGTATAAAATATACCTTCTGTATGTTTTGAACCTTATGGAATTAAGATTTCAATAGCCTGGGAACCAGAGTGATAGTTGGCAGCATGGCAGGGGGTGGAGGAGGGATTGTTGTGATAAACATTAACCCCAGAAAAGGACTGACTTGGCCACAGAAACATGGGGATTTTTAAAACAAGAGATCTTGGCATTTAACACGTTCATTGATCAAGATGCATCTATGTAGCAGCCTTAAACAGAAACAGTATCCATGCATCTAAAAACGTGATGCATGCATGAAAGAAAATAACAGTTTCTGCTATGGGGGAGGGGAAGAGAGAAAGACAGGGAGGAGGTGAAGGAAAGGATCTGCCATAAACCTCCCCTTTCTCTCAAAGCAAAACAATCCTCCAGATCTCATCTGCTAGCAACAGCTCCCCCCAAAACCTCAACACCCAAAATAATCCCCCAGCAACAAGAACCCCCAATCCCAGCACTACAGCAAGACAAGTTTCTCACCTCAGCTCCTTTCAAGATACAGCAAAACATACAAACCCTATGCTCTGATTAAGTAGAAAAGGGGTTTAGGTTTTTTAAAACAATACAAATGTTGAACCCTACATAGTAAAAATAAAATTCCATGTGAAAAATACAAGAGGCAAAGCACACATGCAATATAAATGAAATGCCAAATGCAAACTAAAATCCCATGAAACATAAATAAGAATCCTTCAAAGGAAGCAGAGTCTATCCTCACAACAACAGAGGCAGAGACATTAGGAGGAGACCAAGCAGTCCCCTGCAGCTGGATTCCCCCCGCAGCCAGGGAGCCCAGAGAATGACAAGAGATGGACAAACAGCAGTCTTTTGTTTACACAACACAGGCACCCGCTCCCAATAACCCTCACCCATAGGCAACTCCCTCCACACAGGCACCCACAAACCATTCCCTACAACACAATTAACTCTCTCTATCCCACTCCATACACTAATCCCCAAAATTTCTTCTACTCACAGAATAACCCTCTCAACCCCAATCTATATAACTCCAACCCTCCACACCAACACAATCATCATCGTCCCATTGTAAACTATTCCAACCCCAATCTCCAACATCAACCCAAACAACCCCCTCTCCATACAACCATCAAAACATAACTCCCGCACTCCAACAACCCTCATTTACACAATCCGACCATACTCTATCACCTCAATAGAGACCATTTCCTAACCTTAGCCCCTTCTTCACCCCAGTACAGACAATCCCAAATCCCCCCATACCCCAAACATGCAGCCACACAACCAGCAAGGCGAATAAGCTCTCAATCCTATTTGATACACCTCCACCCCAATACAAACCAAGCCCTACCCTAACCCTCCAATACAGATAAACACATATCCTCACACACCCCAACCTCTACACACAAACCCCCAACTCCTCGCTCCCAATACACCCAGCCACCCACCCCAATACAGCCTGTGGCACTGCCACACCAAACCCCCACATCCCAATACACCAACCCATGCACAGCTTATGGTCCTACCCCAATACAGCCAGTACCACCCCACCGCCCAAGACACCTAGCGCCCCACCTGCTCACAGCCCACCCAGCCCCAACACAGCCAATGCCACCAGTACTGCCAGTGCCACCTCACACCCACTATACCCTGATCCCCAATACACCCAACCCCCCAGTACA